GTCCCTTTGGGGCTGATCAGCCCGTCGCTCCCAGTCCCGATTGGGGCTGATCAGGGCCAGCCGGCCAGGGGGAGGGACTGCGGGAGGTTGGCTGTGGGAGTGCACTCACCACCAGGTGGCAGCTCCCGCATTGAGCACCTGACCCCTGGTGGTCAGTGCACGTTATAGCGACTGGTCTTAAGGAGCTCGTTAACTCAAATTACTCTATCAACTCAATGCAAAAAATCAGCCGAGAGACAGCTGGGATCTCAAAAAACTCGTTAGTCGGTACACTCGTAAGTCAAGGCCCCACTGTATATAATTATCTGTACTGGAAAGCCCAGAAGTAGGGGAAGGAGGAGGTCATGCATGCATTTACCATAACAAGGAGTCAATGGGTATTATCTAAAATTGATAGATCACAAAATAGACATTTAGACAATTATAAACACAGTTAAAAGCAGTTGCCTCTGAGGCCCAGGCGAAGAAAGAAGGATACTGCTGGTTTTTTATAATATACCTTCTAGTATTACCTCAACATGCAAGTATTACTTTAAGTAGAAAAGTTAACTTTTAAATAAGTTAGGAAGAATGTGCTTTACTATTTCACAATCATTGATTCATATAAACAACTCAATGTGCAAACACTAAAAGAACAGTGCAGCGTTGCAAAACAAACTAGCACTACTGAAGAGATATCATATTATGGTAATATAAGTACCAGGAGTCTGCTGATATTTCCTGAGTGCCCTCTATGTGGCCAGCACAATGCTAAATGGCAACGTTAAAACTGGGAGTGGAGTTTATTTACAGTTGAGGAAGAGAAACAGATAAGCGGACATGAAATGATAATATGGCAACCATTCAAGACTTAGTGAAAGCTTCCCAGGAGTCATGCCATAAAAGCTGAGACCTGAAGGGAAAGATGGGTTGTCTTGGTTGGGGGGTTCAGAAAATTTTCAAAGTGAAGAGAATAGCATGTGTCAAGGCCTAGGGGTAAGACAGAAACAGACAGGGCCCATTCCAGGAATTTAAAGAAGTTCAACATGGCTGGAGTGGGAGAGAATCAAAGTGGAAGCAAACAAGGCCAGAAAGCAAGCTGCTGCTTCATGCGTTATGGCAGCGGTTCTCAACCTGTGGGTCACAACCCCTTTGGCAGTCGAACGACCCTTTCACAGGGGTCGCCTCAGACCATCCTGCATATCAGATATTTACATTATGATTCATAACAGTAGCAACATTACAGTTATGAAGTGGCAGCAAAAATAATTTTATGGTTGGGTCACAACATGAGGAACTGTATTTAAAGGGCCAGAAGGTTGAGAACCACTGCGTTATGGGGAGACTTACTCAAGGACATGCCTACTTTGCCCATTGTAACTCTAAAGTTGTATACATCCCTGAGTCTTCTAGATCAGTGAAGTCTTCCCCTATACACTGATGATTTCAAAATATCCATGACCAGTCCAGAACTGTCTTGCGGGTGACATACCATTTATCTGTCTGCCTGCCATACATTATCCTCTGGGTGACAATGTGCCCAGTACTGAACTGTGTATCCTCCCCTATCCATCTCCAATTTCTCTTTTTCACTCTACCCATTCAGATATCCAAGTCCAGAAACCTGAGAGAGGAGAAAGAAAAACTAGTATTTGGAGTGTACTAGTATTATGTTGCCAGATACATAAGAAATATTTTCATTTAATTCTAACAAGCATCTAAAGTAAATATTAGCTCCATTTTACAGTTGAGAATGCTAAAGCTCAAAAAGATTGAGTAACACACCAAGGCACATATATAACACAACTAGGATTCAAACCTAGAAATCTGGGAAGTGTGTAGGTTATTCTTGAGTTCACAGAGAAACTAATTATGAAGTATGGTAGAAACACCAATCGCCTACCTCAATCTCCAGACCTTCCTCTCTTATAGTAACAACTCCTATTTTTGGCTGAGCACATTCCTGTCCAGCTAAGATACATTTCCCAACCTCTCTTGCAGCCAGAAAGATCACATGACTAAGTATTGGTTATCACTGAATTACACAGAACTTCCCTTAAGAGTGTCCAGCCACCTCTCTGTCTCTTCCTCCATCCTGCTACTTGGATACTAGCAAGACCACCAGCAGCCATCCTGGACCCAGAAATCAAGAGCCACACCCCAGGGATGACAGAATAAGAAACTGGAAAGAGCCCAGCCAGTGTGGCCCGTTGGTTGAGAGTCAACCTATGAATCAGGAGGTCACGGTTCAATTGCCGGTCAGGGCACATGCCCAGGTTACAGGCTCCATTCCCCAGTGAGGGGTGTGCAGGAGGCAGCCAATCAATGATTCTCTCTCATTATTGATGTTTCTAGCTCTCTCTCTCCCTCTCCCTTCCTCCCTGAAGTCAATAAAAATATTTTTTTAAAAAAACACACAGAAAACAGCCCTGGCTGGTTTGGCTCAGTGTATAGAGCGTTGGCCCATGGACTGAAGGGTCCTGGGTCCAATTCCAGCGGGGCATGTGCCTCGGATGCAATATAGTGTTACTGACTATAGTCACCATGCTATACATCACATTCGGAGGACTTATCTTATAACTGGAAGTTTGTACCTTTGAACCACCTTCACCTATTCTGCCTCTACCGCCCCTCTCCCCAACCAGCCTGGTGTCTGCATTTCTGTCCTAGCTGGTTTGGGCAGAAGTGGATAGAGTGTTGGCCTGTGGACCAAAGGGTCCTGGGCTCGATTCCGGTCAAGGACATGTACCTTGGTTTCAGGCTCCTCCCCCACCCAGGCCCTGGTCCAGGCATGTGCAGGAGGCAACCAATCAATGTGTGTTTCTCACATCAATATTTCTGTCTTTCCCTCTCTCTCTTCTACTCTCTAAAAACCAATGGAGAAATATCCTCAGGTGAGGATTTAAAAAAAAACAAAAAGGAAAACAATTCTATTTTTCAGCGTCTAACATCAAAGTGTTTGCACTGCTTATTCCCTTGTATAAAACAAATGCCACATTTAAAAAATAAGTCCTAGATACTGATATTAAGAGCTTACTATTAAAGGTTAGGTGTGATAATGGTATTGTGGGTCTATTAAAAAGAGAGTGGCCTGGCCAGCGTGGCTCAGTGGTTGAGCGTCGACCTATGAACCAGGAGGAGGTCATGGTTCGATTCCTGATCAGGGCACATGAGCCCCAGCTGGGGATGTGCAGGAGGCAGTCGATCAACGATTCTCTTTCATCATTGAATTTGCTATCTCTCTTTCCCTCTCCCTTCCTCAATGAAATAAATACAGATGTATTTTTTTAAAAAAAGAGTGACTAACTATTCTACAGATATACAGTATACTCAAATATTTACAAATGAAATGGCATACTGATGATCTGCTTTAAAATAATTGGGAGTAGGGATATGAATGGATAGGGGTATAGATAAAACTAAGTTACCCTGAGTTACTAACTGATGGAGTTGAGGAATGGGTACATGGGGGTATATTATTCCACTGCTTGAACTTTTCTATATTCAAAGGGTACAAGAACAAAGACTTGACCCATCAAATAATATAGACCTCTTAATATATTTAATAGTTGCATCTCCTTCCTGTAACATTGCCCCACCTCAATTCTCTGCCATGTAATCCACCTGCAACTGAAAGTTTCATCAATTCTTTTTTTTTTTAAATATTTTATTGATTTTTTACAGAGAGGAAGGGAGAGGGATAGAGAGTTAGAAACATCGATCAGCTGCCTCCTGCACACCCCCTACTGGGGATGTTCCCACAACCAAGGTACATGCCCTTGACCGGAGTCGAACCTGGGACCCTTGAGTCCGCAGGCTGACGCTCTATCCACTGAGCCAAACCGGTTAGGGCTCATCAATTATTCTTTAATCCTCACGTCATTCTTCCTTGTGTAGTAACCTTATGAGATTCAGCAAGTCACCTCACCTCTAAGAGACTTCATCTGCAGAATGGGAATATTTGTACTTGCCCAGTCTATCTGCGTTGCCCAGTGGATTACCTAAAATACAAACTACAGAGCAGAATGGTCACTCTGGAAACCTATATAGTTATAAACTTCAAGCTCGCCAGCCACCATTTACTGATTCCTACGGATTCTCTAGCTCTGTTCCTCTCCTGAGCCCTCAACTCATCAGCCCAATGCCTTGCTCCTCTGTAAGGTTGCCCTGCGCTGCACCCCTCCGCCCCCCATGTTTTCCTCTCTTTCAGCACGTGCCTTCTCACTACACACCTCTCCCTCCGACCTCCTTTCTCCCCTTTCGAGAATCCCACGCCAACTGCCCTGCTAGTCAGTCTCTCGCGTGCACCCCTTTGCTGGCCCTATTACATCCATCCTATCACTTTTCTACCTCTTTCCGGCACTTTCATCCTATCGGCTTGATCACCCACTACCCTCAATCCCCACTGCTGACCCCCCCAACCCCTCATCGTTCAAAACACTTGGGCTAATTCCCACTCTCACCCTCAGCTAAAGCACAATCGCTAGGTGTCAGGGGACGGGTGAGGGGAGGAGGAGTGACTGCCATGGGGTATGGTGTCCTTTCGGGGTGATAAAAATGTTGTAGAATCAGCTGCACACCTCTCTGGATATGCCAAAAGCCACGGAGTTGTACTTCAACTGTATCTTTAAAAGTGAATTGAATGGTATGTGAATTACGTCTCAATAAAAATGTACTTGTCAAAAAAGAAAAAGTAAACACTACTGCCCGCCCTGCCTAGCACACGCCCATTTGTCAGACCGATCTCCCGAATGGCCGACCTGCTCCTGGGGAGCCCCCCCAACTCCCGGGATTACACCCCCCTCACCGCTCCGCCCTCAGCGCCCCGGTACCCGGGGCGGAGGGAGGGGCCTGGGGCACAGCCTCTCCCGGGGGCCGTCCCCCACTGGCCGGAAGGGACCCTTCTCCGCCTCCGTGGCGGCGCTGCCCCCAGCTCCTGACGCTGACCGGGGGAGGGGGAAAGGGTGTCCCCCAATCCGCTCTGCCAAGGAGCTGGGGGCCCGGCCGGCCTCCCAGCCCACCTGTCTCAGCCGGCAGGGAGATCCGCTTCCAGCTCACGGACGAGCGAGTGGCAGAGGCTCAGGCCTCCATGTTTCCGCGTCTCTGCAACTCCGGCTCCGGCTCGGCTCCAGCCCGGGCCGCGTCGGTGCGGAGGCCCGGAGGCTGGGAGAGAAGAGGGAAGCGTCCGAGAACGCAGCTGGGAACCGAACGGCAGGGCGCGCACCAGCCGGTGATCACGTGGCGCGTGGCGCGCGGACTTCTGGGAGATGTAGTCCTTCAGGCGTTAGTAGCCCCCCCCCCCCCCCCCCCCCCCCCACCAGGGCAACTGCATAGCCACGTGGCAAAATTCAGAAGCGGCTTGGCCTCTCTGGTGCTGGAGTCCTTACCACTTATTCTGGTGGCTTAACTTTATTAACACTCCTCTTCATTCCAACCGAATAATCATTCCGAAGTCAAGCAATTCCCCTGGAGGGCTCTGAAAAATTGGAGAATAGCACTTTCAGCATTTTATCCATTGTTAAATTTTTTAACTTTGTTCTTATTCAAGCCCTTTTATTGAGGGCTAACTTTCAGAAAGTAATTTTTGATGGAGGCAGTTAACAGGTCTAAAACTGCAATATTGTCAAAAAGTTTTATTATTAAAAAACTGCAATTTGTCTATTTTTTCTTTTATTGCCTGTGCCTTTGGCATCACATCCAAGAAATCACTGCCAAATTCAATGTTGTGAAGCTTTTCCCCTATATTTTCTTATAAGAGTTTTATGTTGTAGCTCTTATGTTTAGGTCTTTGATCCATTTTGTGTTAACTTTTTTATAGAGTATTAGCTAAGGCTCCAACTTTATTCTTTTGCATGTAGATACCCAGTTTTCTCAGTACCATTTGTTGAAAAGACTTCCTTCTCCCCATTGAATGGTCTTGGAACTCTTGTCAAAAATTAGTTAGCCATATGTAAAAGGTTTATTGCTAATCCCTCTATTCTCTCTATTCTGTTTCATTGACTTATATGTTTGTTTTTGTGACAGTACCACACTGTTTTGGTTACTTCAGCTTTGTAGTAAGTTTTGAAATCAGGAAGTGTGCATCCTCCAACTTTGCTCTTCTTTTTCAAGATTGTTGTGGTTTTTCCATTTCTGCAAAATACATCATTGGGATTTTAATACGGATGGTATTGAATTTGGGTAATACTGACATCTTAACAATATTCTGTTACTGTCTTCCAACTCAAGAATATAAAATGTCTTTCCCATAATAAGTAGCATCTTTCATTTCTTTCAGTTTATTTCAATAATATTTTGTAGTTTTCATTGTCTTTTTTTAAATGCTTTATTTTAAAGCAAGAGGAAGAGAGAGAGAGAGAGAAAAAAAAACACTGATGTGAGAGAGTCAACAATTAGTTGCGTCCCACACGTGCCCTGACTGGGGATAACACCCTCAACCTAGGTATGTGCCTTGATCAGGAATCGAACCCTCAACCTTTTTGGTTTTCATTGTCTCAAGTCTTTCACTTTCTTAGTCAAGTTAATTCCTAAGTTTTTTTCTCTTTGATATTATAGTAAATGTAATTATTTTCTTAATTTCCTGTTCAGATATTTAATTGTTGGTGTATAACAATGCAACTGATTTTTGTGTTGACTTTTTATCCTGTTACTTTGCTGAATTCAATTTTTTAGTGCTAACAGTCTTTTGTGGAATCTTTAGGGTTTTCTATTTACAAATCATCTGTGAACAGAGATAATTTTACTTCTTTTCCAATTTGAATAACTTTTATTTCCTTTTCTTGCTTAATTGGATAGAAATTCCTGTACTATCCAGGCAAAAGGCCGTCATCCTTGCCTTATTCCTGATCTATTGAGTGTGAGGCTTGTTGTGGGTTTTTCACATATACTTTCATTATGTTGAAGTAGTTTTCTTTTATTGCTAATTTGTTAAGTGTTTTTGTCATGAAAGGGTATTGAATTTTATCAAACGCTTTTTTCTGTATCAATTGAGATGACCATGTGGGTTTTCTCACTCCATTCTGAACATCTTGCATTCTAGGAAAAGTCCACTTGGTCATGCTATATAATTCCTTTTTTTTTCTCCAATGTCTTTTTGTTGATTTCAGAAAGGAAGGGAGAGGGAGAGAAAGATAGAAACATCAATGATGAGAGAGAATCATCGATTGGCTGCTTCCTGCATGCCCCCTACTGGGGATCCAGCCTGAAACCTGGCCTTGTGCCCTGATTGGGAATCAAACTCGTGACCTCCTGTTTCATAGGTTGATGCTCAACCACTGAGCCACACAGGCAGGGCATAATCCTTTAACTATGTGGTGAATTTGGTTTGCTAGTATTTTTTTGAGGATTTTTGCATTGATATACATAAGAGATACAGGTTATCTCTTATGCATATCAATGTCATTTTTTTTTAATGTTAGGAAATGTTATCTTCGATATTTTGGAAAAGTTTGAGAATGATTGATGTTCTCCTTTAAATGTTTGGTAGAATTCACTAGTGAAGCCATAAGGTCCAGGGCTTTTCTTTGTTGGGAGATTTTTTTATTACTAATTCAGTTCCTTTACCAATTATATGTCTCTTCAGGACTTCTATTTCTTCATGATTTAGTCTTGGGAGGTTTTGTTTTTCTAAGAATGTGTGTGTGTTTTTTTAATCTAGGTTATCCATTTTGTTGGTGAACAATTGTTCACAGTACTCTTATCCATTTTATTTTTGTAGCATCAGTAGTAATTCCACTTCCATTCCTGACTTTAGCAATTGGAGTCTTTACTCTCTTTCTTAGTCAGTCTAGCTAAAGATTTGTCAATTTTGTTGGTCTTTTTGAAAAGCCATCTTTTGGTTTCATTGTCTCTATTTTTTTCTCTATTTTGTTTATCTCTGTTCTAATCTTTACTATTTCCTTCCTCTGCTAGCTTTGGGTTTCTTTTCTAGTTCTTGAAATTGAAAGTTGTTGATTTAAGATCTTCCTTCTTTTTTAATGTGTTTATAGCTATAAATTCCCCCCTAAATACTGCTTTCACTGTGTCCCATAGGTTTTGGTATGTTATATATTTCGTTTCATTTGTCTCAAGATATTTTCTAATTTGCCTTTTTATTTCTTCTTTAAGAGTTTATTGTTTAACTTCTACAAGTTTGTAAATTTTCTAGTTTTACTTTTGTTATTTTTAATACTTTTGTTATTTCCAACTTCCTCCCATTGTGGTCAAGGATACTTTATATGGTATCGATCTTTCAAATCTATTGAGACTTGATTTGTGGCTTAACATATGATCTATCCTAGAGAATGTCCCACATGCTCTTGAGAATATGTATTCTGTTGTTGTTGGGTATTGTTCTGTATGTGTCAGATTTAATTGGTTTATTGTGTTATTCAAGCTCTTTCCTTATTTTTCTTCTGTCTGGTTCTATTCATAATTGAAAGTGAGGTAGTAAAGTCTCTGACTATTATAGAACTATCTATTTCTCCCTTCAATTCTGGCAATTTTTGCCTCATATTTTAAGGGTGTGTTCTTAGGAGTAAATATAGTGTTTTTGAAACATAAAAAGACAGTGAACAACCTAGTATCTACTGATCTTCAAGATATACTTTTTCTTTTAAAGATATACTTTTAATTGGAAAAAAAAACTCAAACAGTGCATATGGTATGTTACTTTTGTCTTAATAAAATACATACACCTGTATGTATTTGCTTGTGCATGCAGAGACTATCTCTGGAAATATAAAGAAGCTGGGAGGGCCTTAGTCCTGTGGCTGTGTGGGGGAGTTGGGTACCGGTGCACCGGTGTTAGCCTTCAAAACCCCCATGTGGTCGCTGTCACGTTCTCCTTCCCTCACTGGGTCTGAGTACCACAGCGGTGGGAATACTTTTTCTCCTGAAGGAAGATTATTTCAAGTGGAATATGCCACCGAGGCTATCAAGCTTGTTCTGCCGCCATGGGGATCCAGACACCCGAGGGGGTGTGCCTAGCTGTGGAGAAGAGAATTGCCTCCCCGCTCATGGAGCCAAGCAACATTGAGGAAGGTGTGTAGAGAGTGATGCTCACATAGGTTGTGCCATGAACGGGCTAATTGCTGCTGCGAAGGCTTTACAGCAGTGATGGCGAACCTTTTGAGCTCGGCGTGTCAGCATTTTGAAAAACCCTAACTTAACTCTGGTGCCGTGTCACATATAGAAATTTTTTGATATTTGCAACCATAGTAAAACAAAGATTTATATTTTTGATATTTATTTTATATATTTAAATGCCATTTAACAAAGAAAAATCAACCAAAAAATGAGTTGGTGTGTCACCTCTGACACGCGTGTCATAGGTTCGCCATCACTGCTTTACGGTAATTGAGAAAGCCAGAGTGGAGACACGGAACCATTGACTCACCTACAATTAGACAATGACGGTGAGTGTGACCCAGGCCGTGTCCAATCTGGCTCTACCGTTTGGAGAAGGTGCAGATCTGGGTGCCATGTCTCGTCCCTGTGGAGTGGCACTGTTATTGAAGGAGTTGATGAGAAAGGACCTCCGCTGTTTCATAGGGCCCATCAGGGACCTTTGTCCAGTGAGATGCTTGAGCAGTTGGCTCTGCTTCAAAGGGTGCCCAGAGCTCCTTGCAAGTTTACCACAAGCCTATGACTGAAAGAAGCCATCACGTCTTCACTCATCCTCCTCAAACAAGCAATGGAGGAGAAGCTGAATGCAATTAACACAGAGCTAGCTGCTGTGCAGCCTGGTCAGACTGTCCTCAGGTTCACAGGAGAAACTTGGAGAGGCCATGAAGGGCATTTAAGGAAGTGTGCTCCTCAGAACTTCTCTGGGGCAATTTCAGTTCTCCTGATTGCCCTGAGCTTTTATTTCCAGCTCCTATTCCTTGGAAAATATCGGGTGTATGTGCATTTTTAAAATGACGTCTGTACATAAAGGCAATTCAAGAAAGAAATAAAGAGAAACTTAAAATAAAAAAATGAGAAAAAAGAGGAAACCGGTAACCTTGATTGCCTCCTAGGAGGGGAACTAGGTGCCTGGGCACCAGGGTGGGAGGAAGGAATCTTTATCTGTGTACGCTCTTCTACCTTATGAATTTTGTATAAAAAATAAGTACACTTAATTTGAAATGCTGTAGACTGGAAACTAAAAAACAAACAAACAAAAGTAGTATACAGTTCATATGAAAAGGATCCTAGAAGATATTCGATGACTGTAAACTCAGTATGTAGGACAAGCCACTAAGAGCTTGCTTGTATTCCAAAAGTTCCGTTC